CTTGTACAAAGGACCTAACAGGGCAATTTTTGTCCAGTGGGGCCTTCAACATTTCTGCCTTTTAACTGGTGCATATGCACAACCAGATATCTCAGGACCCCCTTTACTATCTCCAAAAACCAAAACAACAAACTCACTGCCGTACAGTCAGATCTAACTCATAGCAACACCTGCTTGGGTTTCCAAGTCAGTATCTCTATGGAAGTAGATTGCCCAACCTTCCTTCCGAGGAGTGGCTGGTGGGTTTGAACTGCCAGTCTTCTGGTTAGCAATCAAATGCCTTAGGCACTATGCCACCAGAACTCCCTTACTATCTCCAAGTACTACAAAAATATTGACGTCTTACTTTTACGATATTGCATGAGATTTTGTGTCCTTTTTATAGCATGTGGTTTTTATTTGATAGGTGGGATCTGGTAAATCAAAAAAATCAGTTTTGAGTGTTTTGAAGATAAAATCCTACAATAATCGATATCATGTTTTCTGGTGGACATTGATTATGTGCTGATTTGTCCAGTCCATAGCTCTTGTCTTTTTTTCCCCATAAAAAACTCTGAATGATTTGAGATTACGTTGCTTCTCACTTGTCTTTTGATATCTAGTGGTGATATTTGCTATGGAGGTCTCCCAACACTGGCTAATCTGTGAAGGATTAATTTACATCATATATTTAGCATAAGAAATGATTGCATAGTGTCTTAGTTATCTAGTGCTACTATAACAGAAATACCACAAATCAGTAACTTTAGCAAACAGACGTTTATTTTCTCACAGTTTAGGAGACCTGAAGTCTGAATTCAGAGCACCAGCTTCAGGGAAAGGTTGTTTCTCACTGTCAGATTTGGAGGCAGGTCTCTTTCTCCTTTTAACATTTGTGGGCCTGGTATCCCTAGGAGATCTCTAATCATCAGTCCTCTACTGGGTCTTGGATGTTGTGGTAGTTCAGTTTGTGTGTCAACTTGGCTGGGCCTGGTTGAGTGGCTGGGCAGCTGGATGTAGTATTCCCCACGATGAGACTGGCAATCAACTCCATGGTGGAAACTGCTGTGAGCAGCTGAGTAGCTGCTTTGGCGATGTGGTCTGCTTCCTGTACATAAGGAGAAGCTTTGGGATTGATCTCTAGCCTTTTGGCACGCTTGAACCCTGCATGTAGCCAAGTCAATAGCCGGCCATGCCCTACCGATCTTGGGACTTCATCTGGACTTAAATTAGTGGTCTGCCATGTTGTTTGGTAACATTGGGACTGTGCCTTTTTACTTGTCAACCTTGGGTTTGTGAGCCTCAGCAGCCAGCAGCTGTCTGAGTGAAGAAAAGACTCTAGCTCCAGTGGGCCAGGAGCAGGAGGCAGAGCTGAAGCCCAAGGTTGAAGGGCTTTCACCCAGCCCCTAGAGCCTGACACTTTGAATTCGGACTTAAAGCCTCCATAATTGTAAGATAAGAAACTCCTGTTTGTTCAAGCCATCCCATTTGTGGTATATTCTTGTCAGAGCGGCACTACATAAACAGAACAGATGTTCACAGCACAGGGACCCTGGATCTAAAGAATGTGTTCCGCTCTGGCTCTTTTTTCTTAGTGACACTGAGATCCCTCTCTCTCTGCTCGTTTATTTAATCTCCTTTATATCTCAAGAGACTGATTCAAGATATCAACTAATCCTGCAGATTGTACCCTGCCTCCTTAACATCCGGTTGTTGTTGTTATGCACCATCGAGTCGGACCCGACTCATAGCGACCCCTCCTTGGGCTTCCGAGGCGGTATCACTATGAAAGTAGATTGCCCCATCTTCCTTCCGACGAGTGGCTGGTGGGTTTGAACAGCCAGCCTTCTGGTTAGCAGTCAAGTGCCTTAGGCACTACGCTACCAGAGCTCCCCCTTAACAACCTAGAGGCTAGCATTTACAACACGTAGGAGAATTACATCAGATCCCAAAATGGAGGATAATTACACAATCCTGAGAATCATGTTCTAGCCAATTCGACACAAATTGTTGGGGACACAATTCAATCCATAACATGTATCTTAGAAGTACACTGTACCACTTAGGAGAAGAGAATGACCTTCCTCTTCTGCTTTCATTTCTCCATTTCCTTTCCAGGTTAGGGTTGACACGGGAGTGGGGTTGGCCAACTCTACAGGGGAAAGCAGAGACCCCTGAAGAGTATTTTGACTGTTGGGCAACCAGAATGTGTGCACCTGTGTAGCACCTGTGTGTGTGTGTGTGTGTGTGTGTGTGTGTGAAGGGTCACTGTGTGTAGTGCAGGTAGCCAGAACAGGTAAATTTGGGAGACATTATGAGATTTAGCAGAGTATCTATTTTGAGGAGAACAGGAAAACAAACATTTTCTTTTCATTTTTTTAATATAATCTTTTTATAGCAAAACATACCCAACCATTTTTATATTAACCTTGTTTTATTGATTGACTCTTAATATTAACAATACTAATTACATAGAAGCTTGCTTTTAACCATATTTTTAGAATCATAAGACCAGGACAGAAATAACTCACAGACAGAATGACTGCGTTTTGAAGATCATGGGACCAGATAGTAGGGACATAACTTGGATGGTTGTTTCTGATAATAAAGCTCCTTTAAGATGTTTTACAGACCACTCCCTGCAGTCAGCAGTCACCAGCTTTCAAGTTTGCATGGCCCATCAAAAACAATGGATCTAAAATGGGAACTAAAGATTCAACCCAGCATCCATCTTGAAGAACACAGAGTCCATTTCAGGAAGAGGCTGCACACGTACCTAGCCTGGAGGAAGTGGAGTTGTTGTTGTTGTTGTTATGTGCCGTCGAGTCGACCCCGACTCATAGTGACCCCTCCTTGGGTTTCCGAGGCAGTATCACTACGGAAGTAGGATTGCCCAACCTTCCTTCCGAGGAGTGGCTGGTGGGTTTGAACCACCAGCCATCTGGTTAGCAGGCAAGTGTCTTAGCCACTATGCTACCAGAGCTCCTGGAGGAAGTGAAGGGAGGAAGTGGAGGTTGATGTCAAAAAGAATGTCATTGTCCCACATTTTGTTTTACTTCCTTGACTTACAAAAGGGTCAGGGTCTTTATGAGTAAACTGCCTGCATAATGCTTTTGAAATCACATGCCCCACAGCCCCAAAATCATTATAAAAACCCTTAGCCCGTAAGGCTCCAGGAGACACACTTTGCATTGCCTCTGGACCTTTGTGTTTCCACCTTGCATGGTTAGTATCCTCTAATTAAATCTCTCTGAACCACAAGTGACCCTCCAGTTATTATTTCAGAACTCAATCAGAAACAATTTGAAGTAGAGCCAGACTATGCTAGGGAGGCCATCACCTTTGCTCAAATCATATTCTGCTTGCTTCTTTTTTAAAAATAATATTGTTTAAGATGATGGGGCTGAGCTGTGGACTTTGGCTGTCCAGAGGGTGCAGGCACTTTGAATGTTACAAGCAGTTCTACCATTTTGGATATTTAAAGCAATACCATTGCCTCAGATTCTGGGGACCTAAGAATAGACTCCACTTGCCAGGAACCTCAAGGACATACCAGACACTGAGGACTGGGAAGGTACAATATTCCCTTTGTTACTCTTACATCCCACACTCTCTTGGTGAATGGAGGTGCAGCCATCCCTCACTCCCACCCACTTTCTGGGCCAACAGGAATTCCGTCCCAGTCTGTGTGCTCTGATGGAGCCTGGGCACTCTGCCCCACCCCGCTCAGCTCTTTTTTCTTTTTCTTTAGTTTGTTTTTGTCTGTTTTTAAATTATTATTTTTTTTCCACCCTTTTTATTATTATTCTTTCTTCTTCCTGTCCCATGTTCTATTTCGGCTTTTTCTCTCTTTCCTTTTCCTGGTTCTCATTTTTTCTTTCTTGTGGTTCTCCCCATTCCTTGTTTTTCTTTTTGCATTTTTCCCAGTTTTTCTTCATTATTCTCCTACTCAACCTCTTTTCTCCTATTGTCCCCTCCCCAGATACTGCAGGATTTTTTTTTCCTCCCCTTTTCCCTTTTTCTATTCATATTTCTTTTCACTTTTTAAAGCATTTCTTTAAATATTTTTCCTCATTTATTGCCTTTCTTCTTTTTTTTTTTTTTTCTTTTTTCTCTTTTTGGTGATTATTCCTATGTGTTTATGCAGTGTGTGTTTTTTGTCCTCTTGCTTTTACTTTTTTGATGGTTTTTCGATTGTTGTTTTTGTCTAACTGAGTGGGAGACAGCAACTGTGCCCTTATGACCCAACCACACCCACACCTCCTGCAGCTCCACTTACTGAGTGAGAGTCACTACTTCCTTCTGCACCAACTGGCTAATGATACACAACCACCAATTAAAGCCTGACTCACTCAACCGCTCTTCACAAACAGTTAACAGGGATCTGTACAACCATTCTCACTCTCTATCATACCCACCAGGAGACAAGTGGTGAGTGCATAAGCACTGCCAACTAGCGAATAGAAGAGCACAGTACCCTGCTTACTCAGATACAATCCAAAAAATAAATAAACCCAAAGAAAACAAAAGTCTTTTTTAATTTTTTTTAAAATTGTGCTTTGAGTACAAATTGACAAAGCAGAATTTGTTTTACATTCAACAGTTAGCACATATTTGTTTTCACTTTCCAATTACCATCCCAACCCTGACCTGCTCTCCTCCTCTCCCTTCCCAGTGATGCGCCCCCCATCCCTGTGCCCTTCTTAGTTATGCTCTCTGGTCTGTCCAGCTTTTCCTCCATGTGAATGCTGCCCTTCTGGTGTCCCTTGGGGGATTGCTCTAAAGGATGTGTCTTTGTAGTGTAGGTGGGTGCATTGCCCTGGGTTGGGTGTTCTGCATGTAAGTCTTACTACTGATTTTTTAAAAAATGAAACATCACTTTTATTGACATTTAAGGGCCACAGGACAGTTTTACAAGACAACAGAAACAGAAGAGTCCCAAAACAACGGAGAGTTCAATTGCAGCAGACAGGTTAATACTCTTCACCCTCATCCTCTCCTTCAGCACTATCGGCTCCAACCTCCTCATAATCCTTCTCAAGGGCAGCCATGTCCTCATGGGCCAGAGAAAACTCTCCTTCTTCCATCCCCTCACCCACGTACCAGTGAACAAAGACATGCTTGACATACATCAGGTCAAACTTGTGGTTCAGGTGAGCCCAGGCCTCAGCAATGGCTGTGGTGTTACTCAACATGCACACAGTTCACTGAACCTTGGCCAGGTCTCCACCAGGTACCACAGTAGGAGGCTGGCAATTAACGCCAACCTTAAAGCCAATAGGGCACCAATCCACAAACTGGATGGTATGCCCAGGCCTGAAGTGCATCCCAGGGCCATAGTCTTGGAGGTCCCACCAGATTCCATCTGACCAGTAATTCTAGTTATTATTGTGTTTTTGAATTTTGTTCCATGTTTTCCCTCCCACTCTATCCAGAATCTCCAATTTTGATCCCTTCCAGAGTGGTTGGCATTGGTAGCCAGGAACCATCTACTTCTTCTGGTCTTGAGGTCCATCATATCCTAGGGCTGATTATTTCCAAATACTCTTGGTTTTCTTCATTCTTCTTCACTTACATGAGAGGAGAACATTAGCTGCATCTTAGATGGCCACTTGAAAGCTTTTAAGACCCCAGTAGCTACTCACCAGAGTAGGTTGTAGAACAAGATTTTTATGTATTATGTTGTGCCGATTGAGCTTGGTGTCCCCCAAAACTATGGTTCTGAGTTGGCAGATCCAGTGGTTCTCTCTACCAAGGTGTCTGGCTGTATCTGTGGGATTACTCCAAGTCTGTCTTCTGTTGCTTCTGAAATGATTGTGGTTATTTTGTATCACTAGTGTCTGTGCCAGATTATTCCTCAGCTGAATCTATTGACCCCATCTGGTCTTCTCAACTGTCTATGCATTTATCTGTAGCCTGGTGTTTGGTGTTAGTGCAATGCAGTATTGTGCATATACAGATATTAGTCTCTGTCATCCATACCTTATGTGCACAATTTGGTGTCCTCCCTTTCCCCAATGTTATCATGCTGGTCATAGACTTTTTCCATACCATGCCTCCCCTTAACCAACTCAGCATGTCACCCCCAACTAGTCTGAAATTTTCCCCTCCCCTTCCCTCTCATCTCTAGTAACCTACAAAGTGAGTTTCCTCCCCTAAGCACACCCATCCTTGACTTTTTACTGTAATGGGCTCATACAATATTTGTCTTTCTGAAATTGCCTTATTTCACTCAGCATAATGGCCTCCAGATTCATCCATGTTGTGAAATGATTTTCATATTCTTGAAAATGAAAATCTTGGGGGAATCACCTCAACATACAATCACCAATTAAATATAAATACAACAAAGTCACAATGTCTTAGAGACAACAGACCATCACAGTCCACACAAAGAAGCAAGATAAAGTGGTAGAAACAAGGGAGCAGGATACAGACCCAGAACACATCCCTGAG